GGACGGTCCTGTAGCAGAGAGCACTTGGCCGCCGGTGGCACCTCCACACCGTGTGCAATGCTGACGGCAAGTGATGGACATAAAATGTTCGACTTTGATCTGCAGTAATTTAGCCAATTGTAGGCAATCTATATTCATTTGTAGCTTTGTGCCTGCGCTGTGTCTGTCGGACACAACAGCCGTTGCGCTCACCAAGGCGCGATGGAAGACCTTGTTCAAAGCCAAAATATCCAGCACCACGCTAAGTTAATCACTCGTAGTCTCCATCGATTGATCACGCCAAAGCGCAAATCATAGCTGGTCGCGAGACGTGGTGGCCACGGCGCCATCGCCAGCTTCTGCAGTAGAAGTTGTAGCCTACAACTGCCGGTGAGTTTGCTCACATGTCAGCTTGACCGGCCTCTAAGAGTATGAAGCACGCTTGTGTTTTGGTCTACCCCCACTTGGAGCTGCTCATCGATATAGATAAGCGCGGCCCTGCTTGTGTACCTGTCCAGGAGCTGAAGCCTTGGCCAAGTGCCAAGGTGATGCTGTGAGCAAGACATAAAACCGTTAATCATTCGACAACGGTTAAACCGTCATCGCGACAGAGTACGAAGTGGTCGTGATAATGCCGTGGCGCCGCCACGTTTTCTCAAGCACTAAGGCGGCACTGAACTGAAAGCACCTCGTTTTTCGGTATCCGTGCTATAGCAAGCGCAACCAGACTAATTTGTTTCATATCCAGTGTACACAACCGCCACGGCCAGCACCTCAGCAGCTATTGCGCATTTTATATTTATATTGAAGAACTCTTTTCAAAGTTTTTTTTTTTTTTTTTACTTTTCTTGGTGCTTTGAGCAGAATTCGAGATTGGTGAATACGCTTTTCATGGATCACGAGCTCGTGGGGGTAGTTTGATTTTCATTCGCAGGAAATTAACGGGTTGAGGAGTGTTGGGTCGAAAACGAAAGAAAACCAAAACTGAGCTCGGCTGCTATCAGCCTTGCTCCTACCAGCTACTACATGCTATCTGACAAGCAGTTACTCTTCTCGATCAGAAAAAGACAGCCTTCCTCGTTTAGCCCACGGCGTCTTCAACGTCTCGGCTGGAGGAAACCGACCAGACTGAAACGCATTATCGGAGAAAAAATAATCTGTGATGACTTTTTCTAACGATATAGTTTATGCCGGGTGGCAGTTTCGGTTATACATACTTTATACCGGGAGGGATACGGAGTATCCTGCAGGGCATCACAGACATTATATCGTTCCAAAATGTCGACTGAGTTACAGGTAACATTAGGAGGCCTTCAAGGAACACTCTGCTTGGACGACCTTCGTTCAACTTGTCACGCGTTCCGCGGGATTAAAGCTTATTAACCTTATGATGGCCAGGCCTTAACGCATCAACGTCAACGAGAACTGCCAGGGTACATGTCCTATTCAAGTACGAAGGATTCAATGCGTACGCGTGGCGAACCACGGCTCTAAAGGAAGTCTCACTCGCTCAGAAATTGATCAAAATCTCCTTCGAGTGAACACTGCCAATCGGCGTCTTCGAGACCGAAAATCTCTCCGTTATACTGCAAAATATCTAAGCCACGCCGTTTGAGAACAGCTAGTCCAAGATGGCCGGTCACCAGGAAACCACTATTAGGCATAGTCTACAGAATCTACAGATTATCTCTGAACACCGTACAGGTTAACCTCACGATGTTCAGTGTAAGGTTTTTAATATTAAAAATAATAATGACATTGAACCGGTTTATGTATTTTACTAGTCTGTTCTTGGTAAACAATCGCAATTAAAATATTTTTGGAAAAAGTTTCGCTCACCGAAATGAATAACAGATTATCCAACGGAAATTTGTTGTCATTTACAACTTTTTAAATTGAGTTAATGCTTTTCAAAACTATAGATACCAAAAGTGTCACTTCATCTCGAAGATTTCCGACAGGTTATGAATAGTAGATTTTTTGGTTAAAACGATTCATGATTATATTACAGTATCCAAAATTTATTACTAACCCTTACATGAAAAAAAACATAATATTAATTTCACTTATGCTTTATTAACATAAGGATCAACTAGTAATATTTTCTGTTCTACTACCAATAGGGGTTTTCACGATTAGAAGGTAGGTTTCAGCAGCCAATCCGATCAAACCTACCTTCTCCGTCCTTTTCAAGTCGAACCTTCTCCAACAAACAGGAAGGGTTGGTTGAGACTTGCAGGTTTGACATGATTGGTTGAAATTCATGTTGGAAGGTTGATGTGATTGGCCGCAAGTAAATCACTT